ATGCTAACATAACATCTACTGTTTCAGCAGGGGTTTGTTTTCTCTGGAACGCTGTTGTGTAGAGGGTGTATGTTTCTGAAAGATGATATTAATAAATCTCTCGAGGATTTAAATACTAAAACTTTTGTAATTGCTAATTCATTAATATAAGAGTACCAGGATTGCGAGGGCCATAGAGGGAAAATTATAATACCTACTGCCTTATCACAAATTATTTTCTGTATACATTTGGAAATCAATGAAAATGGAAAAAAAGCATAAAATAAAATTAAAATTGGCCCAATTAAGGGTAAAAGCATCAATATTTTCTGCATAGGGATCGCTATGCCAAAATATATAACTTTGACATTTTTTATTTGCTCTGGTTGCAAACAGATCTATGTTCGGTTCTCCTAGAGACTTTTAATCTTTATTAAAACTTTGTCACTCAATTCCCATTCAGAATCAATATTACTTAGTATTTAGTTTCATATCTTGATGACATTAATTGTATTATAATTAATAGTACAATTAATGTCATCAAGATGATTGTAACCTTTGCTACGGAGAAAATTTATAACAGGTTTGAGTATCTTTGGCACTGTAAATAGCGTTGAAAAATATTGTCCATTAACTGATATATATTTTGTAATGCCTCCAAGTTGTAATAGTCTGTTTATTTCTTTCAACAATATTAACTGTCTTACAGATGGTCTGGCTTGAGGACGTTGTGGGGGTTTCTACTTCTGCTGCAAGTAGTGTTGCTCTGTAGGAAGATTCGGATTATCAACTGAAACACCGCCGGCTATTATAATGCATCTTTATTACATAAATATGTTCTTTATATATTGAGTGGAAATGCAAGTGTGTTTTTATGTACTAGCATTTCTTTTCTTTCGTAACATATTTTTACATTTGGCTCACAATTTGCAATAACTCTAAATGGTCCTATGTAAAGGATTAACATTGTTTACCATTTGTTTATTTCTAAGAAGTATTAGGTCACCGATATTATACGTGATAGTGTTTAAGTACTGATCATATCAACTTTTTCTTACTTCTTTACTTTTAAACAAATTTTGCCTTGCATCATATTGTGATTTTTGCAGTCTGTATTTAAGTTCTTTAGAATAGTCGTAGTTAGATAGATGGCAGCAGCCTCGGAAGAAATCGCTTGAATGGTATTTTTAACGTCAGTTTCGGATATTTTTGAAAAAACAAAAGATGTGCAGTCGGTTTCGGAACCAGTGAAAGTTCTGCGAACGTAGAGTCCTTTACGTTACCATTGATAGTAGAAGGAGGAAGGGAGAAGTGTCTGTTAAGAACGTTTAAATCTACATTAGTAGACACAGTAGCAGTAGACTTAACCACTCCTACAGAGCGCAAAAACCGCCAGGCATCAGTAGGTTCGCGATCAGCGAGAGAGCTCTCTCTCTCTACTGAAATGGAAGAAGCGTCTCTTAGCATCCCTACACATACGATTGCAGCAATTTTGAAGAACCTTATAACGAATAAGATTGCTGCCAGTTGGACGTTTCTTATATGGTCTTTTTGCCTTATCCTTTTTTGCCATAGTCTCTCTTATTTCAGAACTTAACCAGAAACTTTTAACCGAATTCTTGCAGAATTTACTCCATATACCGCTAAAAATGGTGTCAATTACCCAATTTGGTTCAATACAGCAATTAAAAAATGTTTATCAGAAAAACAAAAATATCATAAGCTGTACAAAAAATACTGGAACCCCCGTGATTACGATGTATTTTCGATGCTTCGAGCTAGATGTAAACGTTTGATGAATGTTTATCATAAGAAATACGTAGCATCTGTAGAAAATGAATTGCATAATAATAATTTTAAGTGTTTTTGGAGTTACGTTAACAGCAACCGCAATGTGATAGACTCCATACCTAAAACTATGAAATATAATGATCATCAATCGTCTAATCCTAAGGGTATTTGTGAATTATTCTCGCGGTATTTCAGTTCTGTCTTTGAAAAAGCCGATTCTAAAAACTTTACTCTGGATAACAATATATTTGAATCGAGCAATAGTCTATGAATAGTATCTTTATTAGAAAACGATATACTAAAAAAACTTAAAAAGTTAGACATTAATAAGGGTAGTGGACCAGACGGTATACCGCCTTATATCATTAAGAATTGCGCTGTGGCACTCTCTTTCCCATTGTCCATTATTTTCAATCAGTCTCTGCGAACGGGAGTTTTTCCGGACTTATGGAAGACTGCATATGTTGTCCCTGTTTTCAAAGCTGGCGATAGATCGAATTGTGAGAATTACAGACCCATTAGCATTCTGTCTTGTCTTGCAAAAGTACAGGAATCTTTGGTATATGATATCCTATATTCTCACATACAGCCTCTCATATCTCCGTATCAACACGGTTTCGTCAAAAATAGGTCAACAATCAGCAATCTTTTGGAATATAAAAATTATTTGTGCCAAGTCTTTGCTAAAAATATACAAGTAGATTCAATTTATACAGATTTCTCAAAGGCCTTCGACAGGGTCGACCATTATATACTATCTTTAAAATTGCAGTCGGTGGGTATACACGGTTCGTTGTTGCGATGAATGGAGTCATATCTAGCTCGCAGGACTCAGTTGGTTGCACTAAAAGCTGAAGTTTCTGCACCTATTACAATAACTTCTGGCGTCCCACAGGGCTCGCACCTTGGCCCTCTTTTATTTATTATATTCATCAATGACCTTATAAAAAGCTTAAATTGTCCCTCTTTGTTATACGCAGATGATTTGAAGGTATTCTCAGTCATTAAAAACTCAACTGATGCTCAAATTCTGCAACTTGATCTGGAGACTATCGCCTTGTGGTGCAGAAACAATAAAATGTCCTTGAATATAAACAAGTGTTTTGTACTGACATTTACTAAAAAGATCAATGTTACAAGCTTCACTTATAACATTGACGGCCTTCCGCTAAGTCGTGTCGAACAGGCAAAAGATTTAGGCATAATCTTTGACTCAGAAATGTCCTTCAAAGCACATTATAATAATATATGCAACAAAGCAACTCGCCTTTTGGGTTTCGTCTTGAGAGTCACTAAAGAATTTAGAAATCCCCGCAGCATCATTTATCTATTCAATTCTTTAATTAGAAGTAATCTTGAATATGGATCAGTCATTTGGTCACCCTTTTATGACACTCATTCTAAACTAGTGGAGGGTGTACAAAGGAAGTTCCTGCGTTGCATATCCTATCGACAAGGTCTATCTCGTAAATTAAGATCTCACAACGAGAGATTGTCTAGGTTTAATGTTGCGACCCTGGAAGATAGACGAAAGCAAAGTGATTTGATCCATTTGCATAAAATTATTCATTCATACATCGAGTCACCATCCTTATTATCCTCCATAAATTTCAACATTTCCTACAGAACGCGTAATCCAAAAACATTTTCATTGCAAGTTTTCCGCAACAACATATCCTTTTATAATCCAATCGTCCGTATGTGCCACCTTTACAATGAGATCAGTCAAACTAATCATGACATAGATATATTCGACAGTAATAGATATTCATTCAAAAAGAAAGTAATGTCACTATTTAATTCAGGAATTATGTCATCATAATCAACATTAACACACTGTTTCTTTCTTTTTTTTTTATTTTGCTAAGTTCAACTTGGACTAAAATTATTATATCATTAGCTTTAATGCTGCTCCATTTTAATCATGCTAGAGATACATATTATTGGGTATAATTGTATTTTGCAAGATAAATAACAAGTTATGCTTTGTATTAATTATATCCTGTTTTGTATGTCGCTTGGATTAGTTATATACAGTGCGATGAGCATCGTTTGGCTAAACGAACTGCAACTATTAGGCTCATTACGTATTCCGCGTTATTATTTAAAAGCGTCTAAGTGGATTCCGTGTTATGCTGGAGTACAAAAGCAACACCTATCCGATAATGATATTAGTTATTCGGATATTATTGAAAAACAATAACATGTATTTTGCGACGCATCAATGAAAGCGTATGCAGCTGTCATTTATTGGAGATTTACGTTACTAGATGGACGCGTATTAGTATGTTTTGCTGCTAGTAAAAGCAGAGTGAGCCCTTTACGCCCTATTTCTATCCCTAGGCTAGAGCTACAAGGTACATTGTTAGGTGCTCGTTTAGCCGATACGATTTGTCGTGAACATAATGTTCAAACTGTAAAACGTTATTACTGGACTGACTCCAGCACTGTACTGCAATGGATTCGTAGTGACCCACGGAACTATAAACCATATGTAGCGCATCGACTCGGTGAAATAGATGAGCTAACTAAAATCATCGAGTGGCGGCATGTGCAGTCGGGATTGAATATTGCTGACGTAGCCACAAGAGAAGATGCTCCTCCATTAGATTATTACAATGTTTGGTTTCAGGGACCTTCGTTTTTACGACGTCCCGAAAATGAATAACCACAATGGGAATATCGGACTTATTTTTACCAAATGATAATAATATCTCGAAATGGACAACTCTTGTGCGTGCGACTGCTAGGGTTCTTTTGTTCATTAGAAAGTGTAGACGATCAAATATTTTTCGTACCATTGACGTACCATTGATGAAGGAAGCTGAGGAACTTATAATAAAAAAATGTCAACAGGCCACATTTAAAACAGAACTGATGTGTTTACAGCAAGGTAAGCCGCTCCCTACAAACAGGCGTTTGCTACAGTTATCGCCTTACTGTGACGAGTCGGGTATTATCCGCGTGGGTGGTCGTATTGACAGAGTTGTTGATGTTGAACAGTCCGTACGGAGTACGGAGACCGTCCAAAAAAAATTTTTTTTTCCCTTACCGCTTGTTCAGGACGTATTTAATATAAAAATGCATCAATCTATAAGTGCAGAAGAGAGGCTAATAGTAGGTTTTTGGCGACAGGACAAAGTTTTGAGGACTTAAAATTTCCTACATGAATTAAAACACAATCCCTTGGAGTAATAATACATAAAACATCAAAATATTTTTTTTATGTTTTATGCTGTGAATATAGCACTGGATCCATCATAACGTTCTACCTCTTGTGATGGCTGCTCATATTCCATGCAATAATTCCTGATGAAGTATCTTCTAACATTGACTGAGATAAAATATTGTCTCTGATCTACCTGCGCTAACTGTGACGATGTTTTTGCATTTTGTGACTGTGTGTGCACAGGACCAGTAAGATTAGTTTCTTCTGTCAACCTTTGTCTTATTCCGCACAGTAATACTTTATTAATCAATGATTCTGCATACAACCTTTGCTCATCTTTCATACGCCGCAACTTACATGCTACGTTCGAGCTTATGCCATCATATTCGTCGTCTTGTTTAAAGGCTTTGTAAGCTTCATTTATTAATGTTCCTTTTCTTTTATTTGCTGAGGACTTGTTGGATGATATCGAAGGCGTAGATTCACGAGAAAAAGGCAGCGGCGAGTGTGATGGAATGGACGAAGGTAATGGCTAGGGTTGCCAAGTTTTCTTTTGAAGAAATAGGTTATATCTGATTTTAAAGTAGGTAAATACGGAGTACGGACTTACAAAAAAGATTGCATAAAATCTGTGTTTTTAAACAATTCGACTTGCGAGTTCTTTTTAAACGATAACTTCTGAATATAAACTGTCCATGTGTATGTTTAGTCTTTGTAAATTAAGTTTTCCTTCTATAGTTTGTTCTAAATGATTAAATTCAGCGTTACTTTTAAAGATGCTGTATTTAGTATGTTATTATATTAAGAGGTTTTAATTTCTGTTTTGTTTATAGCCAAAATAGTTGACTTTTTGTCTTTGCAGTATTCTGATTTAAAATTTTCCATTAAACCAATACATTTACAATTGTGTCAGAGTTACCTTCTAGAGATTTAATAGTTTTGTAAAATATGTTTAAAATATGGCTAAAATGTAAGTAAATTTCAATTAAATCATGGTTATATTCTGACATCAACAGATTTTAAATTATCATAGGGAAATCCTCATCATGAATATTAAAATAATCGCATATTGGATGCCAATTCAATAATATAGTATCAATACAAGGTAGTAATGATAACCACCTAGTGCCAATATGTCTCTTAAGCTTATGAAAGTCTCCTTCAACTATTACAACAAACATTTTCAATTCTTCTCTCCTACAAGTCGACACAGAAAAATGGCTATATACATATAACATTTTCAACATCATAAGTAAGAAAACCCATTTCATGTTTCACACAGTTGTGCACAATATGTGCATTACAATTACCCTTAACAATATCAGGTACTACATCTACCATGTTAGTGTATAATGAGTGATGCATACGAAAATTTGAATTTGTGTTATCTGCACTAAGGCCAGATACTCTATTAAAAGGGATATTATACATATACCTAGAATCTTTTATAGCAGCAAACATGCCATCAGCACTCTCATTAGCATTTTCATAAAAATGACGAGATTTTACTGGTCGATGAGATTACTCTTGATTTAAAGCAATTCAATGGCATTAAGAATACTTATGGGAGGACTTTGGACCTTTTACTATCTAATGACAGTATCCAGGTAACAGATTGTAGTGACGATCCGCTTGTGCCTAACACCATATCGCTTTGAATTTTAATTTAGAATTTGATAATTTTGTAAAGCCGATTATAATACAATTAATTCAGAAATTACTAAAATAGACTAGCATTATGAATAAACATCTAAACCGCTAAAAGCGGCAGTAGAGTATTTTTACAATACATATATAACATTAAGAGACCAATATATACGACCACCAATCGTATCACCATCGAATCGTACCATGCTAAACTATTATTACCGACAACTACCCCAAATGGTAGTCACCGGCTTTGAAAGAGCTATTAGAGAAAAAACAAGTATTTGAAGAAATTTAAAATTCATGGCAACCGTACGGATGAACAATCTTTCAGAATTCTAAGGGAGTGATGTAAAAGATTGGAAAAAATATGCTATAGTGAGAATATAAGTTCTATAGAAAATTCACTGAGGGATAATCCAAAAAAAATTTTGGTCGTTCATTAAATCTAAATCAAATATTAATGAATTACCCAACAATATGGACTATGATAGCTCTGCATTTAATACTGGATAGTCAATCTGCAATGCTTTTTCTCAAATTTTTCATTCTAATTTCTTGCCGGCTCCAACATCTGTAAACAATTAAGTTCAGCCTATTCGCCTCCTACTATTGCCAATATTACTAAAATCATAATTGATATCAACGTACTGACCAGACTTCTGTCAAGGCAGGATCCTTCAAAATCTGCCTCCGCATAAACTGTTCTAAAACCATTGCCATTCATATTTCTATTCTTTTTAAGAGGTTATTGACCAAGTGTATGGAAGCAAGCATATATTACACCAATGCACAAAAAAGGGTCTAGATCGGACATTGCTAACTACCACCCAATTTCTAAGCTATGTATCATTTCTAAGGTATTGCAAAAAAAAAATTACGAGCAACTTTACTCTGCATTAAAACAATCAATCAGCCAACACAACATGGTTTCCTTAGGGGTCATTAATATCGTTCAGTCGTGTCCAATTTAGTCTTGCTCAATGAATCACTTACTTTTGCTATGGATAATGGCTTTCAGGTCGATGTAATCTACACTGGTTACAGTAAGGCCTTCGACCGGATTCGGCATGCTTTTGAACGCTTTTGAACAAGCTTCTATTGATTGGCGTGGAGTGCGGTTTATTGCGCTGGTTATCGTCATACATAAAGAATCGCTCACATGCAGATGTAATGAAGAATTATATATCTAGTCGACTTACAGTTCCAAGTTGAGATCCCCAGGGCTCACTGCTTGCGCCACTCCTGTTCGCAGTGTTCGTGAATGATATTGAGCACTGTTTCACAGCTCTTATGTTTCGCGGACGATATGAAAATATTGGCTCCTATCTCGTCATCAGAAGACGCTCTCCTATTACAAGACGATCTAGTAAGACTTGACAACCATTGTTCCGACAATTGTTTAGATCTAAATGCAGCCAAATGTAATGTTGTCACTTACAGCAGGAAGCGGAATCTGGTATTTGAAACGGGATGTAGTCGTGAGAGACCTTGGTGTTTTTCACGATCATAAGTTGATTTTTGATAGCCACATCGATAATATTATTTCAAAAGCATCCAGGGCTCTTGGATTAGTGACGCGTAACTCCAAAGACTTCACACAGTCAAAAACACAAAAAAATCTTATTGCACATTCGTCCGTAGTGACGTGTTGCATCTGGAACCCTGGATACCACACTTACATATCAGAAAATTCAAATAAAATTTATAAAATATCTTTGCCTTCGTACCAAACAACACTATAATTCGACTCGTTATGAGGAAGTTTGTAAGAAACATCACTTGCTCCCTTTAGAAAATTGACGTGACATCTCTGATCTGATTTTTCTCATCAAAATTTCTTGTGGTGCTGTCGATTGTCCTGAACTCCTGTCAAAGATCGCTCTTATGATCCCACAAAAACAACTCAGGTCCAATCCTTTATTATATTTACTTTATTATAAAAAAAATAAACTGAATGAGTGTTTCAGTATATTAGCATTACAATTTGGGTATACCCAATGTACAATCAGTAGAATTTTTTCAAAAAGTATTTATAGGCAGAGAAGATGAAACAGCTGAATGTATGGCCAACACCTGAGGAAATTAAAAAAAAATTGCCTTTATCGTTGTTTCTATAATTGATTGTCTCGAAATACAAATTGAAAAACCATCAATTGTAATCTACCAGTCACTCACTTGGTCACAATACAAAAAATGCAACACATTGAAATATTTAATTTCTTGTACACCTGATGGCTTGGTCAATTACATTTCTGTTGGATATGGTGGCAGGGCAACAGATGTAATGATAGTTAAAGACTGTGGCTTTCTTGAATATTTACCATCTCAAACTGCAGTTATGGCAGACAGAGGCTTTAAAGACATATCATATTTGCTAGGAAAAAAGGGTTGTTCTCTCATACGACCCCCTTCTGTTTTTAAGTCTAACTCTAGTACAAAAAAAGAGGTAAAGCAGTCGAAAAGAATAGCAGCATTAGAAGGTGTTATAAATAGATTAAGGGAATTCCACATGTTACTACCTCATGCAACTATTGACCACAACTAAATCCCTGTCATTGATTAATAAATATGCAGGATGTTTTCATAAAAAAATAAATCAATTAGAACTTTGTTTCTGTGTTTATTCTATTTAAATAATTTTAGAAAAATTGCATTACCCCAAAATAAAGTATATTTTTCTATTAAATTTTCACAATATTCTGTCATAATCAACTTTAATTATAGTAATATTTTTGGATTTTTCAAAATCACTGTAAGCTACACAAAATAATGCTTTAGATTACATAGTAAAATGCATCGTAACTGAACTTGTGCCATGCACTTTGCAGATATTGTGTGGTTCTTTCTAATGTACTGACTCATAGATTTTTCTGATGAAGGACATTTAATTTCAATACTATAATCAGTACTTTCTCCATCAGCTGATGCGCCCATAATGGGATATAATGGATTTAATATGATTCTACATTTATATATTTTTATTTTCATAATTTCTTCCACTGTCTTAATTATTTCATTTTCCATCAATCTTCCTCTTTTCATTGGATGCTTTGATGCTCCCATGATAGCTTCGGTTAAAGATTCATCAAATGTATTACAGTGTTCAGCCTCGTATGCTTTGGATGCAGTGATTCTTCCATATCTGAGCTCATACCATAAAGGACAGTTACTTGTTCTAGAGTGGCAAGTGCAGCTTCTTTACATACTTCAGTCTGTTTGCAAAATTTAATAAACTCTTGTGTATTTTTTGGTTTGTTCTTTATCATACACACCAAATGATGAATAGATAGTTCATCACAGTTGCTCGGCTGATTATAATATTTCATCAATTGGTTCTCCCTGTCACCAACTTCCTCACTATATTTTTTTACAATAGACAAAAAACTTTCACATGGAATCTGTGTTGAAACAAGGTTAGGCTGTGTCTTAGGTGCATTACAAATATCCTTCACCTTAATAAATTGGAGGCTTGTACCCACTGACGATAACTTTGATTTTTTCCAATAGCAGTCAAAAGTAATGGATGGTGGGTCTTCTCTGCGCCTATGCAACCAGATCAAGAAGGCAATGACATGCTTACAGTCTCCTAAAAAATAAAAAGTTTGTAACTATCTCACCTTAAATTATATGAGAAATTTCATTAACAAAGCTGTTTTCTCAAAATTCACATAACTTTAATCTCAAAATTTAGACTAAAATTCTTGTCTACATCTATTTCTGACCTTTATGTGCTACACAGTCTTCACATTGAACGGACAAGACAGTTTCTTCAGCCTCATTACAAATAACACTTACGACATAACATTTCTTACGAACATTACGTTCAGGTGTTATTTGACCCTTCACAGTACATATATCACCCTCTCGATTCAATTGGACATATCCCACTGCTGAATCACCATATGATTCTCATTCAGACCTAAAAAAATAACAAAAGTGAATGCAGACAATCTCATTTATGTTTGAGGTTATTTATGTTATGTTCTGTTGCTTTATATATGTAATTATTCTTAAAAAATATTCAGATTCAAATAAATATAATATTTAATTACCTTGCAGCTTTCACTCCTTTGATTTCAGCAGATGTGTAATCCAAGTTTGATGAAAAGTACGTGCTCATCATGAACATATCAATTCTGGGTAAATTATCGGATTGCGCTTTAACATAACCACAATCAGTCATTTTCCTACGCTTTTTAAAATTTTTTACGAGACAAATGAATATTAGGCACCTTTAAATATGTTGAGAAATCACTATAAAACTAACTCAATCGCAAAACAATGCACTTGTTGATATGAATATTGTACACCGCAGAGCAATGTTGTAGACTTTGACGTCACATTCGATCGGGCCAATAGCGTTGCGTTTCAACTACTTTGAATTTCGCACTTATATTTGGAACTTTCTAATAATTATTTTTGTAATAAAAGAAAAACTATAATAAAAAAATATTGATGTAGGAATAATTCTGAAGTAAAATTTTTTTCTTTCATAAACTTTAATGAAAGAAAAAAATTAACCCATTTTAAAATCACACGCATATTCCCTATTGTTACATAATTGTTCGCACTTAAATTCTTTGGCCCTCTAGACTGAATTTTAAGTCTCTGTCTGCGGCATGTAGAGAGACGACAGTGTTTTAAAATGAAGTTCTCTTGGCTAATTTTGGTTTTCAGTTTGTAAAAATTATTCTGAAACCGAGGTACATCTTTTGTTTTTAATGTAAGGCATTTGAAAGTACTATTGGTTTTATGCTTGCAATTTGGGCAAGATGGTAGTTTTTTCGAAGAATATTTGAAAATAAACAAGCAATAATTTATTGCTATCTCGTAGAAAATATCCTGTGTCGAATAAAATCCTACAATAAAATAACGCCTAATGGATCAGGTCTCGATGACAAGTATATAATACAAAAAACACAAACATTCACCATCATGTATAGCAAATACTATGAAAATTTGACTCACCGTTCCAGCCGTTTTTTCTCCCTTTTCCAATTATTTTTGTTGACTATGTGCTTCCTTGCATGTTCCGGAGGAACTGGTTGTATTTTTTTGTTAAATCGGACTTTGTTTTTATTAAAACTCGCGATAATACTCAGCACAGAAACACTTACAAAAGCATGAGCGGCCATTACTGCATCTAATTTCGCCCTGACCCTTATCTGTCAAAATGCAGCACTGTGATTGGTTGTAGAAGTTTTTGTTTCTGACTTGTCAAAAGTCTGGCGGGATTTTGAAACAAAACCTAAGAATGGACCGTAAATAATTATTGTATATATCGGAGTTTAAAAGAAATTTGTAAAATGGGAACATAGAGTTCAAGATGTCGATTCCATAGAGTACAAAATGTTATTTTTTTTCAGTATGTGGATCTGGCGGGTTTTGATTCGCCACATTTTTTTTTATCAAAATCGGTCATTTGGTGTGTATCCCTTAAACATGCAATAATAAATTTCATTGAGAAGTTTAACAAAATCATCGCGTGCACAAAATAAAGAATTCTTTGTATAATCGATTGCATAATTAATCGAATCAACATTTCTCTCAGATTCCAGTAAATCGACATTACATAATTCACATTATTTTTAAATATTTGTTTTACATTTTTTTATTATATAAACAGCGTCATATCTTTGTTATTTCATTCAAAGCAGTAATTAAAGAATCAATTTCGCATGCAATATCAGTGAAGCAGGGAGTATCAATTTTTTCTAATTTTCTAAGGGAACCTGGTTAAAATTTCTTATTATAATATTATTTATTTTAAAATTTTCTCGTAAATAATTCCACGGTTCTATGATGGAATTTATATTATGTATCCAGTTCTAAACACATGGTATTTTTTCATTTTTGTCAATTTTTGAACCATCTTTTTGGTTGATATGTTTGTCAAATTTTAGTTATTATATTAATTATTTCCTGAATCCAGAACTGAATATGTGGGGAATTATTCTTAAGACAAGAAAGACTTTAAGAACTTTTACTGTATCACAGTAAGAGTGACCATTAAAAGAATCGAACAATTTGTCAAATATTAATAAAAGGTCTGCAGTGTCTTTACATTCAGCAAGTAGCACATTGCGTCCTGAAAAAAAAATAATATTATTTATGTCGTAATTGCTGTAATAGGATCATGAAAATATAAGTGTGGCTAATATATTCAAAATTCTTATTTCGTCTTCACCTGTATCTTCATTCAAAATCATTTTTAAATGTTCCCATTTGGCAATTTATCGTTTCCCATTTTGTTGGAATTTTATAGTTTTAGATAGAAAATTATTTCGAATTCTTTTCAATAGATGGGGCGTATCAAATAAGGGAAAAATTTCAAATTATCTATTTCGATGGAATTAGATGGGTACTCTATATTTTTTCGTAAATATTTCTCCCTTGTTTCTTTTTGAAACATTTAAATCGTGCTAACATTTGATGTTTCTTGATCGCAAATCGTCGCTACAATGATAATACCTGCTTCTCTTAGCTGTTTTATGGTATTAGTTATTATTGTTTTTAATTCGATATTTTTTGTTGCGCTTTTACAGAACGTAATTAAAATTGGTTGTTTCGTTTTAGATTTCACACTTTTAATAGGGGAAATTCATGGTTTTTTTTTTGTCTTTAATTAATATTTTACTACTTTATAACGTAGAAAAAAATATAAATAGGCTTCAAAATACTCTAGATATTTTTAAAAATGAAATTTAAAACATTGAAAAAATTTGAGCAGTTGAAACGCCGTCATTTTGCGCGCGCTTTGCGTGACGTCACATAACACGTCCAGTGGGTCTTTACTGTGAACTTTTCAGTTACTTCGTACATACTTACAGGTTTAATAAGTTAATTACCATGGAAAAAGCCAAAAAAATATCTTATAAGTATTGTATAGTACCGGAGTGCACAAATACTGTTCGAAAACACCAGACAAAGTGTTTTTTCGTATTTCAAGTGATGCGAAAATACGAAAACAGTGGTTTAAGGTGATGAGAAGAGATAAATTATCTCCTAAATCGTGTTTATACTGTTGTGAAGATCATTTTAACGTAAGTATACTTTATTTATATACAGCTTAGTGTGAATTAGTAAAAAGTAAGTTTTGCATTAGATAATGAACATTAGAAAATTCGGTTTAAAATTAACCTAACCTATAAGAAAATATGAGTAGCTATAACTTTCAATAAAAACTTTATTCCTGTTGTGGTTTGACGAAATTTTTATGGTTGTTGTTTTATTCCAGCGTCAGGAAGATATAATTTTCTGTATCTTCCAGGAAGATACAGAAAATTATATTGAATACAAATTAATGAAAGAGCAAGGAGAAAAACGGACTCTACGGTTGAAGAAAGGAGTTTTGCCTCATATATTTTTGTGTCAAAAACGGAGGATACCATTACAGAAGGAAAGAATGGCTGTAGTTAAAAGGCAAAGATTGACACTGGTCAATGAAGCCCTTTCATCAGAGATAGCTTTTAAAAGTAGTGTTGTTAGCGAACCTTCACAAATAATTGATCACGAAGCAAGTCCAAGTACTTCCCACACAAATGTCTGTGATCAACCAGGACCTTCCCGTATTGGATGTGATGATTTTCAGGTAGAGCTTGTCACTTCCCATATTGAGGAGAAATCGCATTGTGACAAAGCTGTGCAAGTGAATATTCAACCGAACTATAGAAGTAAAGGTGTCAATGTGAATATACCTATTGAAAAACAAAATGTAGCATTGTCACCATTTTCTCTTGTATCACGAAATATAGGAACTTCACCTGTTAAACTATCTGTTTTAAAAAGAAAATTGTTTACTGAAAACACAGCGGATACTATTTCTATGTCATCTTTTTCTTCTTTGACCTCTGTTGATTATGAACCAAGTTATCAATCTGAGTCAAGCGAAGTGCAAAATGATCCAGAGGACGAAAAACAGTTTAAAAATGTAATGTGTAGTAGCATGCTAACTGCTATTGAAAAAGAGCCAAAAATGTTGTTAGGATTACCTAAACAATCATATCATTTAATAAATCTTTTAAGTGATAATATTCCGCTTCCTAGTAAACACATATTAATAACCCTCAAAAAAAATTAAATTAAATGAGTCCTTTAGCATCTTGGCACAACAGTTTGGATGGACTAAGTACTATTTGTAGAATTTTTTCTAGAAGTATTTCTCTTATGGCAGCAAAACTTAAGGACTTGATTGTGTAGCCAGCATCATCAGATATTTACAAAAATTTACCCATATCTTTTAGGTGTAGGTATGCAAATGTCGTGTCCATTATTGATTGCCTAGAAATATGGTGGTAGGGCTACTGATGTTATGATAGTACAAGATAGTAGTTACTTACAGGTTTTACCTCCTAATAAAGCAGTGATGGCTGACAGGGGTTTTAAAGACACCATGTTTGCTAGAAGCTAAAAGATGTACCCTTATACGACCACCTTCTGTATCAAAGTCTACCCCCAGTACTAAAAATGAAGTGAAACAATCAAAACGTATAGCAGCATTAAGAATACATGTTGAACGGGTAATAAATAGGTTAAGAGAGTTTCATATGTTACTTCCCCATGCTTGTGTAGACTATAACTTAATTCCTATCATAGATGATGTAATAATAGTAGCTTGTGGATTGGTAAATATGCAGGATGTTTTAATAAAAAAATGAATATATATTTACATTTGTTTTATTTTCATAGCATAAAGAAAACAGGTGACAATAATTAGACAGAAATCAAATATAAACAAATTCAGTACTTAACAAATACAATAAACAAAAAAAATCTATCTATTTAAACATAGTTTAGGAAAGATGGCTTTATTCCAAAATATGATGCATTTTTCTAACAAATTTTCACAAAATTGCTGGTCGTAGTTGACTTCTAAGATTGATTTTTTTTTTGTTTTTTCAAAATCTGGATGAGCAACACAAAATAGTGCCTTTGCTTTATTAGAAAAATGCATCTGCAGTTGCACTTGTGCCATGTATTTGGCAGGCACGCTATTTCCTGAACTGACATATCGTCCCATCTTTTTCTGATTTTATTTCTATACTATACACACTACTTTCACCATCTGGAGAAGCACCCATAATAGGATATTCAGTATTTAACTTTAATCCACATTTATTTATTTTTATTTTACAAATTTTTTCTACTTCCTTTAAAACCTGGCTTTCCAACAATCTACCCCTTTTCATAGCCTCCGTGTCCCTCAATTTACTTGCTCCCAAAATGGTCTCCGTTAACGTTCCATCAAAAGTATTACAATGTGCAGCATCATAAGCTTTTGAAGCTGTGATCCTTCCATACCTCAACTCGTGCCACAATGGGCAGTCATTCTGTTCCAAAGTAGCTGTTGCAGCTTCTTTGCATGCATCTATTTATTTATTTATTTATTTTATATGGACAACCAACAGCATACATATTTCAACTTACTCCAGTAAATTACAGTTAGGTTTAAATCTAATATATATACCAATTATAGGTTGACACAGCATTGTTAACATATAAGTGTAATTTTAGACGACACCTACAATTCACTTAACCACTGATAAAAACACCAATGAGAAGGCTAAGGCACTCTCCGGTTCTCAGTGAAAAGTCAGATCAAATTACCTGTAACACAGATCGAATGATTCTTTGTATCACCAACCAAAGTGCAATGATTTTTAACTACGGTGAGAAAACTTTCGGTATTCAAAGATGTTGGCACGAGCTCATGTTTAGGTTTTTCATACATTTTTTTGGCTTTAATAAACTTCTGGCTAGTACCAATTGATGATAATTTCGACTTTTTCCAATAACACTCGATGCTTGTTGTTGATGGATCTTCACTGCGCCGATGTAGCCATGCTAAAAAAGCTATAGCATGCTTACATCCACCTAAAACAAGAGAAATAAAAAAACAAAACAATTACTACACGAATTAAATCGACTTAAATGTTAATAGAAAATATCAAGTTCCTAAGTGCAGGTCACTGAAGCTTAACAAGTAAAACTTAATTACCTAAATGTGCAGCACAATCTTCACATTGAACAGAGATAATAGTTTCCTCTGTTTCATTGCAGGTGCAAATAACAGCATAACATTTTTGTCGTACATTATGTTCAGGTGTAATCCGAGCCTTAACAACACATATGTCTCCATCTCGTTTTACTTGGACGTATTCAACTGCTGAATCACCGTAAGATTCTCGTTTAGACCTGAAATAGACAAGTACTTATAAACACTCAAAGAAAACAGCCCACGTAAATTAGGTTATCAATTTATAAACATTAAATCATTATATATTTATGTCAGATACACAAAGTCAAAGGTGGACTACTTGGGTGAACTTCAAATATAAAACATGTATATATAGACGTAAAATAATAGTTTCAGAGTAATGACAACTGGATATGTATAGGTTATGTTTTGGTGTATTATAAGTAAACTGCTGTGTGCATTTATGGATAAAAATCTATATTATGGTCTTAAGTATATGAAAAACAATAATAATTACCTTGCAGCTTTCACTCCTCTGATCTCTGCGCTCGTAAAATCGGGATTTGATGCAAAATATGCTGTCATCATAAATGCATCTATTTTCGGTAGATTGTCCGATTGTGCTTTGACAAAACCAGGTTCAGTCATCGTCCTAGATTCGCTACAAATCTAAACTAAACTTTACTACAATCAGCACAAGATTACAGGTTTAAATTATTTATTTTTTTCACAAAAACTTGTAAAACCGTATGAGTTTCGACGCTGATGAATGCAATGTCGTGTCAAATGACGTCACATTTCGTTCGACCAATGGTGGCGCGTTTTGGAAGTATGAATTTCGCTCACTTATTTTGCGCTTTTTGATTATTATTTTAGGGGTTTAAATAATAAGTAAATAAAAAATAAACCTTTTCATTATAATATGACGATAATAAGTATTCGAGAAAAAAATATTTTAGTCCATATAATTTTTTTTGCATTTTCCCTATTATCAACAACAAAGCATGATTGTTAATATTTTTCGTCTTTTTATGTCCAAAATCTTCAAAACCGATTATGCATGTTTTCAGTAAACTTACCTTCGCAATGAACATTCTGCTTCAGTCTTCCATTATCAAGTTAAAATTTCGCCACATAACTCCGCCATTTATATTCGTAAAGACCATTAGTGTGGGGATTAGGTGTAGTAACAATTTAACATTAAGGCAAAACGTAATATTAAGCAGGCAAGGAAAAAAGTAAAAAACTATGTCTTCAATCGTTAAAATTTCCTATTGTAGATTTGTACTGCAACTCAAAATGCTACAATTTACTTTAATGCCACCCTATAACCGCTTCAAGAGTTAGTAAGATGCATCATAGATCTACTATAACTATGACATTTGCTTCCTTTGTTGTACTCAAAGGTCTAAAGGTAGCCTGTAGCTCTATTATACCGCTTGAAAAGTCACGAAACACTTAAATACTTTTTTTACAACGCTATTCAGTCGACTCGTATAGAATCAAAAACAGCAATCTGACTTTTCACTAATTAACGGTAATTAGGAAAAGTAGTTTCACTGTTACAATCAGCAAATATATTTTTTTATGTGTATGTAATTACGTAAGGTTTTGATTTTTGAATTTATTATTTTAAGAATTAAATAGATTTAATTTGAATTAAATTAATATCTTAAATAATCAGATTGCTGAATATGATACTTAATAATAATTAGATTGCTGCTGTCTTTGATTCTAAGCAAAATTAAATATACGTAGGGTTGTCAATAAATAAACTTCATAATTTACAACAATCTTTTTATTCTGTTCGCTATCATTAAAGTAACGAAGAAAGATTTTTATCAAATAAATTACACACGTAAGACTTCGGAATCTTCAACAATCTCATTACAGTAAATCTCGTCTGTAGTAGTTGTTTCCTGTAAAACCTCCTGGTTGCCAAGGTTTCTTTGTAAAACGTCAAATCCGGTAAACTTTCCCATTCTGTTCCAAAATGTTTATCCAATAATTTTTTTACGTCATTCAATTTTGCCTTGTTAACTGCAACTGACTTCGGTATGGTGACTTCATTGATCGTTTTGATATTTTTTCTTGGTTTACAAATATTTTCACCTCACGAGAACATTGTCTCGTTGCTTGGAACGTCGTAAAATAAATCGTTTACATCGATAAAATTTTATATTCCAATTTGTAGTTGGTTTCGGTACGTCTTTTACAGCTGTTTTCCAGTCACAGACTGGAGAATGGGTGCCGATTTTTCTTAATGTTACTTTTTCAGATATAATGTCTGAAATTTCTGTTGGTTTCAGTATGACCTTATTCCTGCGCAACTTTTTTTCAATTATGCCAAAAACACGGTCGGCGGCATAAAAGAATGACCAGTGACGGGAAATATGATTTCTAAAACCTTGATGTCAACATTTTCTAATAACCATTTGCAACACATGCCAATTAAGATACTATTTTTATTTTGACCGCCGCATCCGTCTGCAACTAACCGTATTCGAGTAATTCCTGCTTTGTCAGTTTGACAAAGGCGGTCATACACGCAAGATGCCACCAAGTTAGCATTTTTACCGAATTCGTTTTCTGTACAATAGTACGCAAAACCACGATCTTTGTTTAAAGGTAAATCAGAAGATCCTTCCAAAATGGCTTAAATATAAAGTACCTTAGGCAAATGGAGGTTTTTTTGAAAATCAAAAAATATAATTTTAAATCCAGGTGTGGTTTCTCGCAAGTTTTCAAAAAATTATTTAGCTCGTAATGGGTGTGTTAAAATTAGAAATGATACGAAATATGAGAATTTCAAAGAGCTTGGCAAAACACAAGAGCAATGAAATTGGTCGATAGTTCTTGACAGAGGCAGTGTCCCCTTTCTTAAATACAGGAATTATTTGAGCTTTCTTCCATTTACCAGGAAAAACATCATCTTCAAGTGATCTATTGAAAATGAATGTCAATGGCAATTTAATACCTGGGCAACAACGTCTGATAAGTAACGGAGGAATAGCATCAGGTCCAGCCCCTTTGCTTGCATCGAGCGACTTAATTTTTTGATGACTTCAGATTCGGTTACTCTTAACTTAGCCATATAATTGTTACCATGGATAAGGGGCTTAACTATGCGATTAAGATCACTAAGGCTATATACCGAGGAAAAGTGACGAGCAAATCCGTAATATCTGAGCCTGACTCCGCTACCACGTCCTCCAAGTGCACTTGCAACTGGTACGGAAGAGTAACCTTCGCGCTTGCCCTATACAAAGGTCCAGAATAATTTCGCGTTATCCGCAATGTTTGCCTCTATTTTTTTAATATAATCTTTATAAAATTGATTATAAAGTTTGTGACACCGTCCCCGAAGCAATTGACACTCAATTTCGTCCCTTAGAATATTTCAAAAACCATTTCCTCAATTTATTCTTCTGCACTAAAAGTTTTTTTAATGCATAACTAAACCACGGGAAACGACCAGATCTTCTGGACTTATAATACACTGACACCAACCTGTCTCTGAGTTGTTATAAGATTTCATAAAATTTAGTAAGCATAGCATTAACATTTTTACGTTCTGAAAATCATACTTGCCAGTCTATCTCCCTCAACTCCCCGTTAATGCCAGAAAAATCCGCCCTATACACCAGGTTCTCCTTTGGTTTAAAAAAATTCTTAGTGGTACACGTTATATTTAACAAAAGATTTGGATGTATTCGGTAGCTTTAACTTAATGAATCAAGCAGCTTCACAACAAAAACGCCTTGTATATTACTCATAACCAAATCCAAGAAACGTTTATCACTGTTACTTATATTATTAAGCTGATATAGATTGTTGACTAACAAAAAGTCCACAAAACAATATCCCAAACTAGAATTATAATAAGACAGAACCATACCGACTTTACCATCGCTATCAGGATTCCACTGAATAAAACCGAGATTAAGATCTCCAACACTCACAATATCATCTGTGTGGTTCAAAGCAAGCTCAGTGCACAGCAGAAACTGCCTCAGGGTGTCTAATTTTACCGGCGGTGGTAAGTATGCAACGCAAACCAATATATTTTTAGGTGAGGTTAAATGAAGACAGTTATTTTTACTGTGTACGTTTTAACTATTTAAATCAGTTATAAATTTGCCTGTTTTAAACAGTTAAATATCAGGTCTAAAGCTTACTGTATTGGACAGTTAGTGCCACTATTTTGGGACAGTTAAAAGTACTGTTCGGCTGTAATTATTTGTACGGGTCAGTACAGTTGAAACTACTGTAGAAAGACAGTATTGGATACTGTTATTTTACAGTAGTTTCTACTGATGTCGACAGTTAGTGCTACTACTGTGGGACAATTAGAGCTACTGTTCTGCTGTAGTAATTTATACTGGTCAGTACAGTTGAAACTACTGTAGAAAGACAGTATTGGATACCGTTATTGTACAATAGTTTCTACTGTGTGGTGGACAGTTAGTGTTACTATTGTGGGTCAGTTAGAGCTACTGTTCTGCTGTAGTAATTTATACTGGTCAGTACAGTTGAAACTACTGTAGAAAGACAGTATTAGGTACTGTTATTGTACAGTAGTTTCTACTGTGGTGGACAGTTAGTGCTACTACAGTCGGACAGTTAGAGCTACTGTTCTGCTGTAGTAATTTATACTGGTCAGTACAGTTGAAACTACTGTAGAAAGACAGTATTGGATACTGTTATTGTACAGTAGTTTCTACTGTGGTGGACAGTTAGTGTTACTATTGTGGGTCAGTTAGAGCTACTGTTTTGCTGTAGTTATTTGTACTGGTCAGTAAAGTTGAAACTACTGTAGAAAGACAGTATTAGGTACTGTTATTGTGCAGTAGTTTCTACTGTGGTGGACCGTTAGTGCTTCTATGTGGGACCGTTAGAGCTACTGTTCTGATGTAGTTATTTGTAGTGGTCAGTACAGTTGAAACTACTGTAGAAAGATAGTACAGTGGACCTCTGGTAATCCGACAAACATTATGCAGGGCAGTGTCGGACTATCGAATTTGTCGGATTATAGAGCACTGCCTAAGACCCCCTATAGTCCGGATTTTTTTTACAAAAGAGTACCTTGTAATCCGACAAATATGTACATACTTCGAAGTACAAATCATACTTAATTGATGTAAGTCGAATTTAGTAAATTAAATAACAATTGAGAGCTTACGTTTTATTATAAAATTAAGCATAAATGCACATACATGTACTAAAATAATCAAAAATTATTATTGATCTTAGTTATGGAACACTGAAAATAATGCTTTAGATCCCCCTTGTGAGGGGGGATCGTACCAACCCCTGAGAACAGAGGAGGCGCGGAAGAGAAGGGAGGGAGACCGGCGAACTTCTTGATGGACCCGGAACTCCCCCCCCGAGATAGGAAAGAAAATAAATACAATATAGTGAAATGAAAATATATATGATGACAATATATAAGGATGAGTAAAATATATATGGTGTCCCAAAGAGGGTGTCCCCGCCGTCCGCCGATCCCAGCCCAGAGAGGAGGCTGGGGTCGTCGGGCGCTAGGGGCACCGACACCGAAAGAAAGATATAATGTGAACGAAATGAAGTCAGGAGGTCCCGGAAACCGCCCCCCCGCCCCCCGTCCGCAACCGAAGCGGCCGCGGCCGCGGTGCGGGGGGGCGATCACGGAGTCCTCCCGAAATAGAAGAAGCGGCGGGGTCACACGAAGAGTGGACATCGCTACGCCGCTCACAAGACGACCGCAGGGCTGGCTAAAGATGGAAAGAAAACAAAGTGTGGAGGCGCAGAAGTGCCTAGGCCAGCTGGTAGTCCGCACCTAGCATCTCAGAAGAAGAGAAGAGTCAGGGGTCGTCCTGTGTGTGTGATGGTTAATCAATTAATTGACGCCAGGACCGCTGATGGCCGGCCCCGCGCCACGCGACCGCCCCACCGGAGTGGGGCGGCCGCCAGACGCGGAGGCGACCAGACGGTCCCGGTGAATTAACGCGACGAAAGCCGGGCCGGCGATTCAGCCCGGTGTCGAAGTCTCGGCTCCCAAGATGGTAGAAATTAATTAATTAAGGCCATAAAAGAGAGAAAAGAAAGGAGCTCGTCTCCCCGGATAGTGATAGTGAAATTATAAGGACTGGATGAGCGGGTAAATGGTGACATGGTAACAAATAAATTAATTAAAAATAGCACAAACATAACAAATCAGAAGATTGTAACAATAATGACAAGTTGACTAAGATTAACTGCCGCATGGCAGATTGACAGATGAAGAGAGTTGGCGTACTTCGTTGGTAATATCTATAGAATGTATGTAGGTTGAGGTTATTTTTTTTTTTTATTTTTTTTTTTTTTCCCCTTGTAATGGTACGCCAACTTACAATGTTTTTGAACTTTGAATTTTCGAAAAAATAAAAAGAATTGACTTTAACATGAAAGAACCAAGTGTAACCTATTGATGTTATATGTGTAATATACAAAATTGTTGTAAGATATGGGCGGAAAATATAACATAGTGTGATCGATTCAACGCTATTACAATATTTTCTTAATGTAATAATTTCTTAGTATGATATAAAATTGAGATCAATCATAAGAATGTATATGAATATAAGTAATTGTATATAAAGAAAAAGAGAAAAAGAACAATTTTAATGTACTGCATGACATAACCTATTAATCATAATGAGTAAACTTATGACACTATAGTGGCATAACAATTTAAGATTGGTTGTTAATTGTATAAAAAAAATTAGACATGACAGTTACAAATGGTATATGAAATTTGTTACTTATAATTTGTATTTCGATGACTAAATGAGATAAGTTTCAACGTTTAATAAACTGTTTTTAATAAAAAATTAACAATGAATACTATATAATAGAAAAAAAAAGAGAAAACAATTGCCATGACTGGCCGTAATACAGTGTAATGTTAAAAGAGATAATCTTTAAGTGTCTGATAGTAGGTTGATCGTATAATATAATACAAGTTTTGCCTAAAAATTATGAATATAAGCATAAAATAATAATAATACTAATAATGGCCGAATATGGGCTCGATAACTGCAATAGTCAGTGATTGCAAAGAAAAGAAACTATGTATATAAAGAAAAAGAAAGAAAACTTAACAATTAACAATTGGTTAACAATTTGAAAATAATGATAACAAATATGATATGTATTGAATTAAACACTAATATTGACATTGTTTGTAAGAAATAAAAAATTAAAAAATTTAAAAAATTAAAAATAATGAATGACTGTTTGACAGTCATTTGTTTTTAAAATTATACTAAAGCTAGAGTTGAACTTAAAATTAAACTGATATTGAATTACACATACACTGAGACTGGTGTATGTTGTAGGAACGAAACTTTGTGCGTATGTTTAAGTCCTCACTTGCTTAAATGAACAAAATGAAGAGTATAATTGTTTGGTCGTTGCAAATCATGATAATAGTAGACAGTTAAGTAGAATCAATTTAAAAATTATGACACACACGCCAGTCGCTCATTCGCTGACGCGCGCATATATATGTATATATAGAAAAAGTGATTATATAATGCTACAAAGAAAGA